CACGCTGATTTGGCGCGCCAGGGCTATGTCCCACCTGTGCCTAATGACGACGGGGAGGCTGGGCAGACAGTTCATGCTCTGGGCCTTGACACAACCAAGTTGGGTGAGGTGTTGCGCGCCCTTGGAGCTGGAGACAGGACTGACGCCATCGCGCACGGAGTGGCTCAAGCACTGCCTCAGATTATCACGAATGCTCGGTTGCAACCAGTGGGCGCGACTCGACACCATGCAGGCCCTGAGCTGCTGGACAATGAGTCAATTGCTGATGATGAAGCTCCTCTGGTACCTATCAAGGAAGCAACAGAAGATGTATTGCGGCCTTACCTGGCGGAGGCGGGTCAGGAGGTGCCCACGTCCTTGGAGGAGATGCGTGATGCGGCCGATCGACTCTACAAGCTGGAGCAGCATGCCAAGCAGAGGAACGGGCCAGGCTTCCAGGCCTACTAGGCCAAGGAGGCTAGTCCACGCCATGATGATGTTCACTTTACTGGTTAAGATGACGTGTTCCGATTCTAAGATCAAGGGGCAGATTGTTACTGTCAATACTGATGCAGCGGGCCCTTTGCTACGATATGTGGAGCAGGCCACAGATGCGGTGATATTGGTTCAAGAGCATAAGTCAGATGGACCAATGTTGCCCAGCCTGCAGTACAAGCTGAAGTGCATGGGCTACCACTGCATCTTCTCGGCGGCCAAGCGCACGGCAGCTGATGGGCTCTCAGCGGGGGTTGCAGTGATCACGCCGAGTTTCATCACGATTACGGCGCCACCACTGCTCAAGGACCCTGAGATTGTTCCCTCTCGGGCTGTGGCAGCGCAGGTCAACTGGGGCCTCAAGAGCGGGTTGGTTGTCATATCCCTCTACTTGCAGGACTCCGTAGACCTGAATGACTACAACCTTATGATTCTACACAAGGTGGCGCAATACGTGGGCCGCCTCAATGCAGCAAATCGGCCTTCTGTCATTGGAGGTGACTTTAATATGAGTGCGAATTTGATTGGAGCACAGGAGTGGGTGGCGCAGACGAATGCGTTGATGGTGGTACCTTCGCAAGTCACATGTCGCACCACCAACTCGGTTGAGGGCAAGATTTATGATTATTTTATGGTTCGCTCCAAGTTGGCCGCAATCATTGAGCCACCAGATGTGTTGACGGCTGCAGGGCTACCACCTGTTGTTCTTTCGATTCGTGCTGAGCCCAAGAAGATCTGGCTAAGGGTCCCTGCTGAGCCCAAGCAGCTACCAAAGCTACCCAAGCAAGGTTGTTCGCGATATCCTATGAATTGGGATCATGTGATGGGCGCCATTCTACGCGCTCATTACGACGACGCGCTCAAGATGGCTTGGGATGCAGTTATTACTGGAGTGGAATTTGAGATACTCAACAGATACGACGTAGTTGACGATGAGGCTGCTCCGTACAGGGGCAGAGCGGGCCCGAGGGACACCAAGTTTGTCGAAGCACACTGGGCCCCCGAGCGGGAGGCGGGAGGCCTCGGGCCGAACGCCTTAGCTTGGCAGGCTGCGGCCAGATGGGCGAAACATCTCATGAGAGTGCGAGCCTTCTGGATCAAATTGGTGCAGGAAGCTGTACGTGATGATAGGCGTGCGGGCGAATTTCACCTTCCTGATTACAGCTCGCCCTGGACTAGCAGACAGCCATCCTTGGCACCTGCAGCTGCAGCTCCTATGAGAGAGGAACCAGAGGCAGACGACAACTGGATGACGGTCACCAGCAGATCGAGATCACAGAGGGCACCTACGAGTGGGCCATGCAGCCTACGCCCTATGAAGGACGAGACTGCCCCGCGGCGCGTGTCCTCTGCTGATCCGCGCATGCCCGCGGCTCTCAGCTCAGTGACCCCGTGCGGTGGTATCGCTGGAGGGCCGATGGCGCCGTGTACTGCAACTACGACCAGTGATGTCTCTGCCCCTGGTAGAGGGCCTACGGGTACTACTTCGGCGACCGCGACGACTGCGTCAGCCTCGAGGCCACGTGAGGATCCAGGGAATCCTGGCATAACGCAGTCCAGGAAGCAGCGAGCATCAGCGAGAGAGAATCCCATTGACAGATTGGCTCGTTCGCTAGTGGACACAGATCGCTTTTTGCTCAAGATAGTGGGGCAGCAGAACCACATGATGAGTCACCTGGACGAGGAGACTCAGAGCTTCTTCCTAGATGGCATCGCCTTGCTAGGAAGAGACGACTTCGAGCAGCAAATATACCGCATAGTCGAGCGTGCTGATGAAGTCCACCGGGAGCATAACAAGAAGGTGGATGACAGCTGGAAGTCTTGGATCGACATGGCATTCAAGAAAGGTGCAGGCCCTGCGCATCGCACGTCTAAGGTCAAGGCTTTGGAGGCAGCAGTGGCGCACACCGACAGAATGCAGCCGTACCAGATGGCCGACAGGGAAATGGATGTCTGGCATGAGGTATGGTCCTGTCACGGGCAGCGTGAGCCAGTATTGCCTAGTGATGCGCATACATGGGAGGATCTTCCCCCTCTTCGGCCAGAAGACTTGTCCAGGGCAGCTCTCACGTTCACTTGGACGACGGCCACTGGGCCGACGAGGCTGCACCCTCGTGCATTTTTCTTCCTCTCTGATGTTGGCTTGTTGGCGCTCTGCACACTGTACCGCGCATGCGAGCGGATGCTGTACTGGCCGACACAGAGAATAGTCAACGAGATGGCTAGGCTTGCCAAGCCCGATGGAGGCGCGCGGCTGATCACTTTAGTAGAGAGCTTAGTACGTTTGTGGGCGCGAGCAAGGCGCCCGATTTCAAGAACATGGATTGTCCAGCATGGGAGCCCTTTCATTTGGGGCAATAGGAGGGGGCACTCTTCCAGTTATTCCGCGTTTGCGCACAACCTAGAGGCGGAGATTGCTGCTTCTCTGGGAGAGAGTTCAGTCACGGTGTTTCTCGATATGTGGAAATGTTTCGAGACAGTGCTGTTCCCTGCATTGCTTGATGAAGCCAGGTGCCTGGGGTTCCCTCTTCGTTTGTTATGGATGCTAATCAACTCGTATTCCCAGCCAAGAGTTATAAAGGCGTTTGGATGTTGGAGCAAGCAGGTGGTGGTGTACCAGGGCATCCTCGCGGGCTGCACCCACGCCACCACCCTCCTCACCATCCCCACCTACAGGGCCCTCATGAAGGTGCACCAGATAGCCCCCAACGTGACCCCGAGAGCGCTCGTGGATGACAGCACGTTCCAATGGGTTGGGCCGTCGGGGACATCTTCGGCTGAGTTGTTCTTGGGGATCCAGAGTTTCGTCAAGGATTCGGCCAAGTTGGGGCTCCTGCTGCAGGTCAAGAAATCGGGCTGGGTCTCCAACGCTAGGAAGGGGCACCAGGGGTTCCGCAAGTTGGCCTCAAGGATCAACCTCAAAAGCAAGAAGTGGGTCCGAAATCTTGGGCATGAACTCAGTGGGCCAGTTCCTGTGAGGAAACAAGCTAAGGCTAGGATGAAGGGCTTGCAGGACAGGCCCCCAAGGCTTATTATGCTCCAGAAGGCGGCTGGCAACAGAGTCACCGCGATCTGGAGAACAGGACTCCTTCCAGCTGCTGCGCACGGCGCGACTGTATCAGGAGTCAGTGACCAAGAGCTTGCCCGTTTACGCTCTGTTGCTGGCATGTTATGTGGCCGTTCGACGGCAGTTTCTTCTCTCACTGTATATCTGGCTACGCAGGCTGACGCCAAGTACGACCCAATAGACAATGCCACCATGGACCCCCTGAAGGCCTACTGCAGCTTCGTCTGGGACAACAGCGTTTGCCTTGGGAGACTGCAGAGGGCCTGGATGAAGGTGGATGAGGGGCTCAAGATTAAGGCCTCTTGGACCTCGGCAAGGGGGCCCATTGCCGTTGTATGGATGGATGTCTTTGAGGAGAATAGGATGGGGCATGTATTCCGCCACGGGGATCTACAGCGACCTAGGTCACACGCTTGACCTCCTTCAGCTCTGTCCCAAGGACGTGCTGGAGTTGGTCAGGCAAGGCATCGAGCGATGGCCAGGCATGCGTATACCTACACATCACAAGGAGGTATGCTATGGGGATGAGGTCATATGGATGAGAGCTATGAGGAGATGTATTGGTGCTAAGAAGGCAGTGGTCAGGCTCCCGCGTTTTGCAGGCGCGCTTCGTGCACTGTGGTCCGACTCTATTTGGTCACGTTCCAGACTGGCTGCCAAAGGGTACCAGATCTCCCCTGCCTGCATCTACTGCGCAGCGGAGCAATCGACCATTGGACACGAGTTCTTTTGCTGTCCTAGTTTTTACGATGACCTGCCTGAGGAGCCCGATCTCGACTGGAACACTGATATGCAGTACACATATGATATGCTAAGGGAGCTCGGACAGAAGGCCCTTGGAGAGTCCGACTGGGATTGTCTTGCCACGGCAGTAGTCATACCAGTGAGCCCTCTCATCCCACCGTATGTGGAGTTCAAGTTGCAGTACGTCTGCTGGGGTGACTGGGAGTCTGACGGGAGTTCCTGGAGCTCTATGGTTTTCTCAGATGGTTCGGGGCTGGCCCCTGCGTGGCCTGAGATTCGTCGATGTGGGTGGTCTTTCGTCGTCATGGGGGACAACGGGCTACCAGTTCGTGCTGCATATGGGCCCCTCGAGGGTCCGATACAAACGGTCGGGAGATCGGAGCGAATGGCTTTCCTCATGGCACTCAGGCTTTTACCTGCTGTGGACCTACTGGTGACAGATCTCCAGAGCCTGGCAGCTGAAGTGAACTCCTGGCACCACGACCAGGAAGATGCGAATTCGACATACGCAGACATCTGGAGGCACATCTTTCATGCAGCTGACGACAAGCGTCGGCCCAGAGCTTGCTGGACGCCTGCGCACATCACGATCGAGAGTTACCTGGAGGTACACTTCGGCACCCTCCCGTTTGAATTTCTGCTCGGGAACATGTGGGCGGATTTTTTCGCAAGGGAGGGGGCCAACATGCACGCTGTACACAAATCGACGGTCCAAATGTTCGAGGCCAGGCTGAGTCAAGAGAAGTTGAATGCTAAGTTCTTCTCCTGGGCGGCAGCTAAGCTCATCACCAGGGACTCCACCAGCAGTAGACCCGAGAGGCTCAAGTTAGGTGGCCCCCCGATTCCTGTACAGCATGTAGGATTGCGTGTGCATGAGGTGGTCATCCGCAGTCCTGGGGTCTGGCAGTGCAAGACATGTTTGGCCACGGCTCGGACCCCAGCCAGTTTGTTGAAACTCGTTGCGGGTACCAGTAATTATGCTAAGTGTGAGCCCACGGAGCAACAAAAGCTCCAGGCTCGCAATGATGTTGTATTGCAGCGCGCATTGCCTTACAGGAGTGAGGCGGTCAACGTTGCGCTAGGTCTAGCGCAGGAGCTCAGCCCACCCGAAGACCCTGTCGTTCCTGGTCCTTCGGGGGCTCAGCAGCCGTGTGCAGATGACATTGTAGAGTTAGATGGCCACCGAATTCTCTCGAATCTTGGTGCTATGGTTTGCACATTGTGTGGGTCGTACCAGCTTAATGCTGGGCGTGCGGGGCACTCGAAGCTTGGAGGCTGCTGTCTGGGCCCTTCTCAGCACCCCCCCACACTGTATAAGCAGCGGCATGCTACTAAGGCCATCAAGGCGGGTAAGAACCCCAAGAATGGCCAGCATATCAAACTGTTTTGATGAGTTTCTTTGGCCCGCTCTGTTTTCCGTCACTTTTCCCATGGGAATCCACGGTAAACGAGCTGGGCCCACATGATTGGCCCATGCTCCCGTAGTTGGTTGCATGACAGGTCATCCGAGGCGTCCTCCTCCTCCTCCTCCTCCTCCTCCTCTGTCTCCTCCTCTGTCTCCTCCTCCTCCTCCTCCTCCTCCTCCTCCTCCTCCTCCTCCTCCTCCTCATCCTCATCCTCCTCCTTCCTCCTCCTCCTCATCCTACTATTCCTCCTCCTCCTCCTCCTCCTCCTCCTCCTCCTCCTCCTCCTCCTCTGTCTCCTTCTCCTCCTCCTCCTCCTCCTCCTCTTCCTCCTCTGTCTCCTCTTCCTCATCCTACTATTTCTCCTCCTCCTCCTCCTCCTCCTCCTCTTCCTCCTCTGTCTCCTCTTCCTCATCCTACTATTCCTCCTCCTCCTCCTCCTCCTCCTCCTCCTCCTCCTCATCCTCGCGTGGTTGCTCCCAGAGTGGCACCGATGCGTCCGAGGCGCCCGCGGGCCCGCCGCGAGGGCGAGGCACGCCCTTCGTCGCCTCTCCCTGGCCGTGGCTGCCCCGGGGCGCTCCCGCGCTGCCCGCGGGCCTCGCCTACACGCAGGTCGCCGCAGGCGGCCGGCACACGGTTCTGCTCAGGAGCGGCGGCACGGCTCGTCGTCGTCGTCCTCCTTCTCCTCCTCCTCCTCCTGCTCGTTTGCCTCCTTTGTCTCCTCCTCCTCCTCCTGCTCCTCCTCCTCTTCGTCCTCCTCCTCCTCCTCCTCCTCTTCGTCGTCCTCCTTTTCCTCCTCCTCCTCCTCCTCCTCCTCCTCCTCCTCCTCCTCCTCCTCCTCCTCCTCCTCCTCCTCCTCCTCCTTAGCGGAATGTTTCTGACATCATCGTCGTGGCGCTCAGCCTCATCGTCGTGGTGTCTGAGGTGTTCAGGGGGAGGCAGTGCTGTAGATATCGCTTCGCGATAGTTCTGATTCCGATTCCACTTCCTCATTTTTTGACGCTGCGCGAACTAACGATCAGAGTCTGAAGCGCTTGTGTGGAACAGAAATGGAGGCCGGCTTGGGCCAGAAACGAACAAATTAGGCCTAGCAGGCGCAGAAAATCGAGAGGCTCAAAAGGTGAAGCAGCATATTGGAGGCCCTCAGGGCAAAGAGTACGCGCTGGCCAGGCCCTCCTCCTCCTCCTCCTCCTCCTCCTCCTCCTCCTCCTCCTCCTCCTCCTCCCCCTCCTCCTCCTCCTCCCTCCTCCTCCTCCTCCCTCCTCCTCTCTCCTCCTCCTCCTCCTCCTCCTCCTCCTCCTCCTCCTCCTCCTCCTCCTCCTCCTCCTCCTCCTCCTCCCCCTCCTCTCTTCCTCCCTCGTCGCTTCCTGCAGGTTTTCCCACCTCGGGACGCGTTCTGGCGGCTGCGCCTCGCCGAGAGCGTTCTGGGGGTGCCCGAATCCCCCCGCATGGCCGCAAGCTGAGCGACACTTTCGGTGCACGTCGCCCCTTCCTTTGCGATGGAGGGCGAACTGAAGAACGATACGCTTTCGGAGTTCGGCGCAGATTTCTTGGGTCGAAGCTGGGCCGACCTGGGGGCGTTGGACGCTGCTCTTAGGGCGCTCCGCGCTCCAGGGAAGGGAGGTTCAGCGCCGGTCGAAGTAATCCGAGTGGACCTCCGAAAGTTCACGGTTTCTGTTTAGCCTGCTTGTTCTATTCGCATCAGACCGTCTTCGACCGCAGGGCCTAAGCTAAAGCTAAGCTGAAGCTAAGCTGAAGCTACGCTCCAGCTAAGCTGGAGCTAAGCTAAAGCTAAGTTAAAGCTAAGCTAAAGCTAAGCTAAAGCTAAGCTAAAGCTAAGCTACAGTTAAGCTAAAGCTAAGCTAAAGCTAAGCTGACTCTAAGCTAAAGCTAAGCTAAAGCTAAGCTACAGCTAAGCTAAATCTAAGCTAACGCTATGTTAAAGCTAACACTAAAGCTAAATCTAAGCTAAAGCTAAGCTAAGCTAAGCTAGGCTAGGCACAGTTATGCGAAGCTGAGCTAAGCTAAGGTGAGATAAGCTAAGCTAAGCTAAGCTTAGCTTAGCTTAGCTGGGTGAACCCAGGGGGCGCAACTGGGGGAACCGCGGGGCGGATGCCGGGGGAACCGCCCGGGGCGCTTTCCACTGCCTGGCGCCTTTAAGCTGAGAGAGTAAGAACCCTTCTAGGCAGAGCCTAGGTAGGGAATATGGGAAATGGGGGGGAAGACGAAAACCCTGGAAATATGGGGAACTATGGGGAATCCTGGGGTTTGTGTGTATTTATTCGTGTGTCCCAGGGCCCCTTCACTAAGGACGGCCTGGCCTGGCCGATTCGTGTGAGGCTCTCCAGCCAACGTGTGACCCCGAAGCTCGGCTGTCCCAGCGGCTGCACGCACGGAGGGCCTATGATGGTTTTCAACATGCCTCCCTGGAAGTTTTTGTTCGAGGAAGTCCCATGCCGTTTGTTCACTTTCGGGTCAGTGCACCGTTTGGGATTTAATTCTAAATTGGGAAGGGGAACCCGATCCCGCGACCCCGGGCGGGGGTTCGGTTCTGCCCTTGCATTGTACTGGGCCCCTCCGGCCAAACGGGGTGCTGGGCTACCCATCGGCGCGCCGACTCTGCACTCACGACCTCGTCCCCATCCCCGCGCACACTCTTCTGGCAGGTGAGCAGCAGATACACACTATTCATTTCTAAGTCTCCGAAAGTTCTTCTATGTTGTGGGGGCCAAGCTCCTTCCATTCCTGATTATTCTTTCCCGGGCGTCTTCCTGGCCACTAGGGCACTAGGGAGGCAAGAAACAATAGAAACGAGCACAATTAGAAATGAGCGCGATTAGATATCAACGACGTGTACACTGATGGAGGCTGGGTCGTTTCCAAGTTTGGCACAGCGCTCTGTACATTCGCTCTTCATGTCAGCAGTTGCTACACAGGTGGAGGGTGGCTTTTTTTGAGCATGGGGCTCTCGCTGTCGACTCTTCTCGAGATGTTACCCCAGGACTCCCAAAATTCGCAGCAGCCGCGCGAATTCACTGTGGTTCTTTCTCAAACTTGGGTGTCTCGCTGGAGACGCTCTGAACTTGCAGTTCCTGGGTTTCAAGACGCGCGACGGCTACTCGCATGGATGGCGGATCCCTCTCAAAGCCGCTTGAATTTGTTTGAGCGTTTTGCTCCTTGACATTTGCACTGGCTGCAGGGATGGAGGGTGGCTTCTTTTCAAAAGCGGCCTGGCACGCCCCTGTGGCGCGCGTGTGTTCAAGGGGCCGCTGCTGGCACTGAGAAGGAATAGCCCCACCTGTTCATGAGGGGGTTCCTTGTGAAGCATCGCTTGGGTTTACTCTGGTTCTCCTCGTCGTCGTCGTCCTCCTCCTTCGCCCCTCTCGATCCTCCTCCTTCCTCGAACCTCGAACCTAGTCGCTAGTCATCCGAGTGGTTTTCGAGACGCAACTCCTGCTTCTGGCGAGGAACGCTCTCGCCGAGGCGCAGCTACTAGAAAAGGCATCCCGAGGCGCGAGGATTTCCAAGAACCTCCTCCTCGTCGATCCTGCTGAGCTTGCTCATCATGGTTCTAGCATATTGTCCATCCCTCCTCATCCTTCTCCTTTCCCTCCTCCCCCCCCGCGCGCGCGGGGAAGGAGCGACGGCATGGCTGTGGCGTGCGGTGGCAACACCGACCGCCAGTGCGACATCCCGGAGCTGGCCGCTGGCCTCACCTACACGCAGGTTTCCGCCGGGAGGGTGCACACGGTCCTGCTCAGGAGCGATTGTATGCCGATTGAGGAAAAGGCATAACCTGAGATTCTGGGATTGTCGCTGGACCCCCTACTGATGCGCCTCAGACGCCGCCCCTGGCGCGCTCCACGCGCCAGGGAGGGGACCAGCGCCGATCCATCGAAATTCACGCGGACCTTCGAATGTTCCCTGGACGGCGAATGCTGTGAGGGGTCTGCTGACTTGCATGTTGATGAAATCCCGAATTGGAGAAACAGTATGGGGCGCATCTGCCGCTGGAGTGCCGTGCTGTGCCGTGTACGCGTGCCGTGCCGTGCCGTGCCTGTCTTGCAGAATGCGAAGTGTGTGTGCCGTGTCGTGCCCCGCGTGCCGGGCTGTGCCTATCCCTGCGCAATCTTAAGACAGCGAATAGTCTTGGTGTGTGGAATCTGTGCCGCTGGAGTGCCGTGCCGCGCCCGTGCCATGCCGTGCTGTGCTTGTGTTCTGGAGTGCGGCAGATGTGCCGTGCCGTGCCGGTGGTCCAGAATGTCAACGGATGTGTCCGTGCCTTTGCTGCGTGCCGGGCCTTGCCGCGCCTGCGTGCCATGACGCGCCGTGCCTGCATCTGAAACCTTTGCCGTGACGTGCCGTGCTGGTGTGCCGTGCCGGTGTGCCGTGCCGTTGCCTTGCTTGCGCTTCCGAATGTGAGAAGCGTGACGTGCGGTGCCGTGCCTGCGTGCAGTGCCGTGCTGTGCCATGCCGTGCCGTGTAGTGCCTGTGTTCAGACTGCGACAGATGTGCCGTGCATTGCTGTGCCGTGCCGTGCTTGTGTTCTAGAACGCGAAATAGTGCCGTTGCGTGTATGCCAGCCATGTGATGTGTCTTATCATGCATAATTCGCGTTCAGGGTCTACATGCTGGTGAAATTTGTGTTTCTGCAGTTTTTGCATGATCTACAGGAGCGATGGTATAGCAGTGGCATGTGGAGACAATACTGGGGGCCGGCGCGGCGGCCGCAATCGCACTGGCCAGTGCGACATTCCAGCACTGACTGCAGGCCTGATTTACACGCAAGTTTCCGCTGGATGGGAACACACTCTCCTGCTCAGGAGCGACGGCACGGCCGTGGCCTGTGGCCGCAATCGTTGCGGCTTGTGCGACGTTCCAGCGCTGGTCGACGGCTTGACTTACACTCAGGTTTCCGCCGGAATGGGGCACACGGTCCTGCTCAGGAGCGACGGCAAGGCCGTGGCTTGCGGCGACAATTTCTTCGGCCGGTGCGACATTCCGGCGCTCGCCGCTGGCCTAGCCTACACGCAGGTCTGGCAAGGTTTCGGGCTGCGCACAGATAGCCCCCCAGGTAGTCCCGGCTGACCTCAACAGGGCCCCCAGGGAGTCCCGGCTGGCCTCAGCAGTCGCCCCGAGTTGCCTATGGCGGTCTCAACACCCCGGCGCCGCCTCTGGCGGCGCCCCTGGGGCGCGGAGGTCGAGGTGTTGAGACCGCCCCGGACTACTCGGGGGGCCTGTTCAGGCCAGCGGGGGTTACTCGGGGGCCTGATGAGGCCAACTGGGACTGCCTGGGCGGCCTGTCTCTGCGCAGCCCGAAGCCTGACCACGCAGGTCTCTGCGGGACCGTGGGGTCATACTGCGCTGCTCAGGAACTCCTTGGGCAGCCGAAGCCATAGGCGGATGGGGGGGCTACGGGCGAATAATCTATGTGTTGCTGTGGTTCTGGCTGCTCCGAGGAACGATGGCGCGGCAGTGGCCTGCGGCTCCAACAGCGACGGCCAGTGCGACATTCCAGCGCTGGACGTGGGTCTGATCTACACGCAGGTATCTGCCTCCCCTGTATCGTTGTCTTGCTCCTCCACCATCCTTCGTCTCTCGCCTCTTCGGCGCACTACCAGGCGTGTCAGGTGAACCAGGCATTCCGCTCGAAATCCAATTGCAACGGATGTTACAGAAGCAAGCTAGAAGGTTTAAGCTCCGTGGTCTGAATACGGATGGACCACTTGTGGCTTTCAGCATGTGGCTATCGTTTTCGCGCTGCGCATGTTCTTTTAATATGATTGCATCAGCTACACGGGTGGGCTACAAGGTGTTTTCAAAAGTGCAAGTTGCCGTGCATCAGCGCACAATTGGGCGATTCCGCAACCCTGAACCCATAAACGTTTTCATCTCTTGGGGGCGCCTCGTTTACTTCCGCTTGCTTCCGCTGGCGGAGGAGGCGTTTTACTTCCGACGACCTTCCGCCGCCTTCCGCGGCGGAAGAGATGGCAACTCCTTCGACCCTCGAATGCAATGCCCTTTTTGGAACGCCCCATGTGTCCTAAGACATGTTCTCTGCTACTCGCTTGGAGGGCGGGCTTCTTGTCTTCGGAAGCTCTTCTCGCTCTGGCGCCGAGCACGGCCGACTTGCAATCTCGCAACATGTGCACGCACGGAGTCGGGGCCGCTGTCAATTTGAGGTTCCATCCTAAGGTCGAGCATCTGATCACCCACCGGCCTTTGCAAGTAACCCTGTGCCCCAAATAATAATTCATACCCCCCTTGCTCCCCCTTTATTTGTTATCCCGTTCCAATCGGATTTAAGTGTGGAGAAGGCGCGGAGGCCGAACATGATAATCCCCGGGGGAAGTTGCGAATCGGAGTTGTTATCAACCATGTAGACTACCAGCATCATCAGAAACGCTGAGCATGGCAATGGTGGTCTCACCGTTTCAGCTTCCGCAATCACGAGCGCGTGGCAAGGCTATGGGATTATCACCATGTCAGTTTTCCCTAGTCACGAACGTGCGGCAGGGCCATGGAATTCTCACTTTTCAGCCGTTCCTGAGCCAGGAACGTGTGGCAAGGCCATGAGGACCGATTGGGTTTTGAAGTTACATGCGTTGTTCGAGCAGACAGAGCATTGGAGTACCTTTTTTAACGCATCCCTCACACGGTCCGTGGCCCGTCCTCCTCCTCCTCCTCCTCCTCCACCTCCTCCTCCTCCTCCTCCTCCTCCGCCTCCTCCTCCTCCCCGCAGCAATTTCCCAGGCCGGAGCTTCCCCAACTCTCAGAGACTGCAGGCTTTCGGGCCCCTTCGAGGCACCGAATTGCACCTCCCCCAGGGGCAACGATAGGGGGGGATAAGGCATAGTTAAGGGGACGCATCGATCCCCAATCGCCCATTGATCGCAGAGAGTGGTTTGATGGCCCGAACCTGCCCAGGAACGTGCGGATTCACGATCGGGCGCCCATCGCCGATGCATCGGCAATGTATCGCCGATTTTCGGTCGATGTTCCCCCCAATGCATATCACCCGGATCGTTGCCCCTGAGTGCGTCGCGAGCCTCAGCCATGTCCCAGGCCGCCGAGCGCGCCCAGGCGGCGACCCAGCTTGTCGCGGCCCTGCAAGGGGTCGCGAGCCCGAGCTCGGACGAGATTCTCGAGCGCATGGCCATGCAGATCGAGAAGATCCTCGACAAGTGTCCTTCGTCGCGGACAAAATCTAGATTGCCGGGATGCGCCAATGCCAATCGAGCGCGCAAGGCACTTACGCAGCAAGAATGACGGCTTGCTTTTTCTTGCGCCTTGTGGTCGGTGAGCGCCCAGCAAGCCGCCCTCGAGATGGCCCGCGACGGCGGTGCTCTCAAGAACATCGAGTGCGGGCACATCTTCAACGAGAAGGACAAGAGGCGCGTCGAGCTGGCGGTGGCGTTGTTCTACAAGACCTACTGCGAGAATGACGCCCGCCTCTACGGCATGCTCGAGAATCGCGAAGAGCCGCCCGAGAACCTCTTCTGGCCCACGCCTAGCATCAAGTCGAAGGTGCTCGAGCTTGCCAAGAAGGAGGACGTCGAGGTCGGCGCCGAGGGCGCCCGGGGCCTCAGCTTCGGCTCCTACGCCGAGCGCGTCGGCAAGGCCCTCCCCAATATCCTTTCCGAGCTCCGCAACCTCCACGACCTCGCGCTGCCGATCAACAAGAGCTTCGAGCCCGTCGAGAACATGGACGAGGAGTTCTCCTCTGGCGTGCCAGCCGATCAGCTCTGCGGGGTGGCCCCCCACGAGGCCAAGCAGTTCGTCAACTGGCGCCGCGCCAACGGCGTGGTGCAGGGCGTTGACCGCGCGCGAGCCACCGCGCAAGCGGTCGTCAAGTGGCGCTTGGGCCTCAGGCGCACTGCCGACATGGCCCGCGAGCTCCAGGGGCATAACTACCAGGGCAAGCACTTCAGGCGTGACTGCGCAAGCACCGAGAGGCAGCCTAGCTGTCGAGACAATGGCTATCAACCAACACGTCATGATGAATTTCAAAGAGTTCGCCAAGATCTACGCCGACAGCGACGATATGACCAACCATCGCGAGCCCAAGAAGGGCCGGGCCGACGCGAAGGCCGGGCCAGAGGCCGACAAGGCGACGCCGAAGGACGCCCGAGAGCCGAGCGGCGGCGAGCGGCGAGCGCCCGGCGCACGAGCGTACCGAGCCTAGCGCTCCCATGTTTCGGTGCTAGGGTGCCGCGCGAGCGTCTGAAGGCACGCGCGATTGGCGTTCCAAGCTGCGGGGTGCTCCGCCCCCCCTCTCGCCGAGTGATCCTCGATCAAGCACCGAGCAATCAAGCAGGTTCGATCCTCCATCCTCGGACTGGAGGATCCGAGATCTTGAGTCCGAGCATCTTCGAGCACCTTGGATCCTAGATTCGAGGATCGCCAAGCTTGAACATGAAGATCTCGGGTTCGCGATCCGATGATCGAGGATCGACTCTCGGCGATCGTCGATCGTCACCGTCGCCGTCGTCAGGCCCAGGCCGCCATCAAGGAGGCTCGATCCTCGGTCCGAGGACCCGAGATCTTAATTTCGAGCAGGTTGTAGCGCTTTGGATCCTAGATCAGAGGATCGCCACGCCTGGACTCAGATATCGGATTCGCGATTCGAGGATCGAGGATCGAGCCTCGGCGGTCGTCGATCTCCCTCGTCGCCGTCGCCAGGCCCAGACCGCCGTCGAGCGGGCTCGATCCTCGGATCGAGGATCGAGGATCCGAGATATTGGTTCCGAGCATGTTCGAACGCCCTGGGTTTTCGATCCGAGGACCGCCGCGCTTGGGCTCGAAGATCTCGGCATCGCGATCCGAGGATCGAGGGTCGAGCCTCGGCGATCGTCGATCGCCTCCGTCGCCGTCCTCGGGCCCAGACGGCCGCCAATCGGGCTCGATCCTCGGTCCGAGGGTCCGAGATCTTGGCCCCAGGCATCTTCGAGGGCATTGGGTCCTAGATCCGAGGATCGCCACGCTTGGACTCGAAGATCTCGGGTTCGATATCCGAGGATTGAGGGTCGAGCCTCGGCGATCGTCGATCTCCCTCGTCGCCGTTCTCGGGCACCAGACTGCCATCAAGCAGGCTCGATCCTTCATCTTCGGACCGAGAGTCCGAGATCTTTGTCCTGAGCATCTGCGAGCACCCTAGATCCGAGGACCGCCAAGCTTGGACTCGAGCATCCTGGGTCCTCGATCCGAGGATCGATGATCGAGCCTCGACGCCTAGCGGTCACGCGCACGCGCGCGCGCAAACGCGCGCGCACACACGAACACACTAACACACGCACACACACACACCCACACACACACACGCGCGCACACACACACACTCGCACACTCACACACGCACGCTCACACGCTCACACGCACTCACTCACACACGCACACAACGACTACACCACACACAACAGCAGCCACAACAGCAACAGCAACCAGCAACACAACAGCAACAGCAGGCCACAACAACGACCACACAAACAACAACGCAAACAACTGCTGCCACAACAGCACAGGCCAAGCCCACCGCATCGCCGATGCATCGCCGAGGCCCGCCGATGCATCGCCGGGGTGGTGCGTGCTATGTGGTGCAATGGGCGCGATCTCTGCGGTGCAAGCACTGTTCGCGTCGCGCCCGCTGTGGGCCGCGCTGTCCGTGGCCCATTTAGGGTCAAGCATTGCGCGCCCCCTTTCCGCTCTGGCAGCGAGGATGGCCGGGTCGGGCAGCGAGGGTCATCGGCCTTTCGCCGAACGGTCGGGCGGCGAGAGCGTCATCTCGCCGACGTTCCTCGTCGAGCAGATGCAGGGCCACGAGCGCTGGAATAGATCGCCAGCGAGCCTGGGGAAAAGTGCCTCGACGACAGGGAGCTCGAGGACAAGAAGGTCAAGCTCGAGGTTGAGCTGGAGGGCGCGAAGGTCAAGCTGGGGGCCAAGCTGGAGGACAAGAAGGTCCAGCTGGAGGACAAAAAGGACTCCGGCCAGCTCGAGGACAAGGAGCCTCAGAACAACAGCAAGCTCGAGGACATCGCGCACTTCGAGAAAAAGCTCTCGGACAAGAAGCTCACGCTGGAGACCTGCACGGTCGAGTCCGAGAAGAAGCGCAGCCGCCTGTGCGCGCCCCCAACAACGAGGCAGCGCGATGCATTGCACTCGGTGCCGAGCTCTCCCTCGCTTCCTGCCTGGGCTCCAAGTCCTGACTCAGCATTGGGGCGCGTCGCGAGCCGCCGGGAGCTCTGAGCGAGGTGCCTTCGAGCAATGTGAGGGCGAGGTGCCGGGGGCTCTCAGCGAGGCGGCCGCCGGCCCCGAGGGCGCCAGAAACAATAACAGAGACAGGGGCCAGAGCAACATAACCGACGACAGCCATAACAAAACAACGCGCGCAAGCAGCGCAACGCGCGCCAGCAACAGCAGCAACAACACCAAGAACAGCAAAATCAACCGGCAACACAACAGCACCACCCACAACAGATGAAGCAACGAAATCACAACGGCAGCACCATCAACCAGCGCAACAGCAAGCCACAGCAACAACAGGACAAGCA